TCCTATACTATTCTTAACATCCCTCAGTCTATTTTGTTTCTGTCAATTATGCTTCTTAATCCCTGTAGCTTTTCCCCTATTCTCTCCCTTCCCCCACCACTGGTAACTTTCCAAATGACCTCCATATCTATGATTCTGTTCCTGTTCTAGCTGTTTGCTTAGTTTTTGTTTCTGTTTTGTAGATTCAGTTGTTGATAGTTATGAGTTTGTTGTCATTTTAATGTTCAGAGTTTTGGTCTTTTTCTTAAGTAAGTCCTTTTAACATTTAGTATAATAAGGGGTTGGTGATGATGAACTCCTTTACCTTTACCTTGCTTGGGAAGCACATTTTCCTGCCCTTCAATTCTAAATGATAGCTTTGCTGGATAGAGTAATCTTGGTTGCAGGTCCTTACTTTTCATCTCTTTGAATGCTTCTTGCCAGTCCCTTTTTGCCTGCAAAGTTCTTTTGAGAAATCAGCTGATAGTCTTTTGGGAAGTCCTTTGTAGGTAACTCTCTGCTTTTCTCTTGCTGCTTTTAAGAGTCTCTCTTTATCTTTAACCTTTGGCATTTTAATTATGATGTGTCTCGGTATGGTCCTCTTTGAGTCCAACTTGTTGGGGAGTTGCCCTGCTTCCTGGACTTGTATGTTTATTTCCTTCACTAAATTAGGGAAGTATTCTTTTATTATTTTTCAAATAAATTTTCAATTTCTCACTCTTCTCCTTCTGGCATCCCTATGATTTGGGATGTTGGCACTTGCGGAGATGTCCCAGAAACTTATTTTTTTTTTTAATTCTTGTTTCTTCATTTTCTTCTGGTTGACTGTTTTTTTCTTCCTTATGTTCCAAATCATTGATTTGAACCCTAGCTTCCTTCCCTTCACTGTTGTTTCTGTTTCCCTGTGGATTTTTCTTTTTTTCACTTAGTGTAGCCTTCATTTCTTTCTTTATGCTTTTGCTATATTCAGTGAGTTCTATGAGCATCCTTATCACCAGCGTTTTGAACTCTGCATCTGATGGGTTGGCTATCTCTGTTTCATTTAGTTCTTTTTCTGGAGTTTTGTTCTGTTCTTTCATTTGAGCTATATTCCTTTGTCTCCTCCATTTTGCAGCCTCCTGGAGTTTGTTTCTGTGTACTAGGTAGAGCTGCTTTGACTCACTGTCTTGGCACACTTGTTACATTATATGGGGCAGAGCTGTAGGTAATAGCCAGAGTGGAGCAACCTGCTTCAATGGCTTTTTGGCTCTGTATGTGGAGGGGAGCGGTCAGAGAGGGAACAACGCTTCTGCCTGGCTGCTGGAGGCTTGTTCAGCACTTGCCCTGTTTCTAGTCACTTCACCTGCTTCCCATATGTGACTGGCAGCCCTCTAGCTGTTGTCCTGGTGGGTAGGTTTTGCATATTTCTAGGACCCTTCGGACCCTTTAAACTGACTCCCCTGAGTGACTGGCAGTTTCTTCCACTGCCCCAACCCCCAATTGGTTTTTGCAGCCGGAAGTTATGAGGCTCTATTTTACTGGCACTGGAACCCTGGGCTGCACAGTCTGGCCTGGGGTTGGGATCCCTTGATCCCCAGGTGTCCCTCCTGACTTTTATCCACCATTTCACTGGTATTGCCGCTTTGCCATCACCACACCGTGCCCTCTTTGCCCAGCTTCCCATCTCTGCCCCTCTTATGTGTCTGGGAAGAATATGGCTTCTTTAAATCCTTGGTTGTCAGACCCCATACAGTTCGATTTTCTGGCAAATCTGGGCGTTTTTTTAAACAATTATTTATTTATTTATTTTTAGACAGAGGGGAAGGAAGGAGGAAGGAGAGGGAGAGAAATATCAATGTGTAGTTGCCTCTCGTGTGCCCCTACTGGGGACCTGGCCTGCAACCCAGGCATGTGCCCTGACTTGGAATCCAACCTGTGACCTTTGGTTTGCAGGCAGGCATTCAATCCACTGAGCCACACCAGCCAGGGCTGTTTTTTGTTTTGAGGTTAGTTGTGATCCTTCTTATGGTTTTGCAAGGAGATGAAATGTGTCTACCTGTGCCTCCATTTTGACCAGAAGTCTCACCAAATGTTATCATTTTATATATAATTAACATTATACTAAAGAGATCCTTATATAAAGCCTTTTAGGATAGATTACCTAATATGAAATTAATATTATGGAATCAAAGGAAATGAATTTTTCCTATTGTATTTTGATCATATTAATCTATACACCTCAAAAGATTACATAAATGATGTGATTTTACTTTAATTTCTTAAAAACACAAACAAATATGAAAGAGAAAATTTTTCTGATCATTGTTCTTTCCCACTCCACTCCCTACTGCTCAGGGTTACTTTCTACCCCTAGAGGCAGGCAGCCATTATCCTGAGTTTAGTACATATCCTTTCAATTCATTTTTAAAAAGTCTCTCTTTCTCTACTCTCTATCTGTATGTATACAGATATATGTGTACACAGACACACATACAGATGTAATCTCTGGACAAAGTCTGTTTGGTATATATATACATATATATACATACACACACATATATCTTTAATGGTTTTTAATTACATGTTATTTGGAGGTTTATAAATCCAATGTGATACCTGCAACATAAATCCCTATGTGCATTATTAAACAGAACAAAAACTAATTATATCACTACTATCCTTTCCATCAATATTAATATCACATAAATAAATCATAGTGTAATGGGAGATCTGAATCCCAATAATTGACTGTAATAGCCATCCTAATAATTCATTCCATGCCCTCAAGATAATACCATATTGTATTTCAGGAGGCTATTTTAATTTCAAGGAAGGTAAGCAGGATTAATTTCAAGGGGCTGCAGATTCAGTGTGGGACCAAAGCACTCAGTTTGATTATATATTTGATAATTAATTGACTCATTCTTAAACTCCAAAAGTGCTACCTAATTACTATAAAATTGAAGTAGACAATTAAATCAGCCATTTAAAAATGGAACTTTGTGAACTAATCCAAAGGGTACTCTGCTCCTATTTGGCTGCGTATGAGAAAATATTTCGGAGTATTTTGGTTTGGAGGAGGCCGCTGGTCATTGCCCAACAGTCGGGGTGACTGGTCAGGTTTAACAGGCTTCCTGGCTGCAGGGCAAAACCTAGGTAGCCATGACTTGTTACCCAAGTGTCTCCATTTTTTTCTAGAAAAAAAATTACTTTTCCTAGTACAAAATACCTGGTCGTTGCACATAGCACTCACATTTTCATGTAATTGAGCCTAAATCACCTCATGTTTTCTGGGCCTTTTTTAAACTCTGAGGATTAAAATGTAACCTCTGGACAAAGGCTGTTTGGTTGTTGCCTGGGGATCTTCCTACAAGCTGAGCTGCAGCTGTCTTAACTATCTCATGAAAAACTAGGAGAAGAACTGAATAATAAGACCCCCTACGACATTTATTTTTAAAGTTTCAAAATTTTAATTCACTATAATACTACGCTGCCCTTTTAAATCGCTCTACCACTGAATCGCCCATGCTAAACTATTAAATCACCTTTTTAAGAGAAAGCAGTGCTACATGTTTTCAAGTTTGAGTTAGAATTCAGAGGCATATCAGATAGATACTAGTTACAGCACTTACGTATAGGTCCCTACCCCATCAATCACTCAGTAAATGAAGTTGGGTATTTGCATAAAATAGCACGTGAGAAATGAGCAGAAGCACTGTGCTGGTGTAGTACCCACACTGAGTTTTGAGACCGGGATGTTCAGTAAGTGTAATTTAATTGGATTCATTTTAGATGCTTAATGATGAGTGTAAAATGGCTGTGCCTGTTTGAGCTCATGATCAGCATCTACAACCCCCTTTTCACAGACCTGTACCCTTAACAAAAAACCCCACCAATTGTACGTCAAATTCTGGACTTCATGTTTTGTATATCTTCCTCTTCCTGTTCAATCCTTTCAACTCTTTCTGTAGAGTGGTTATTAATATTATTCCCATTCTTTCAATAAAGTTCAAAGGGGTCGCAGACTGACCAAAGACTAACAATAGGCACTTGGGGATTGGGGAGAGCCATTTTGAAATCTGGCAGGACCGCCACCTCTCTGCGGTCGGGGTCTACCCCGGAGCTGGGTTTAGGCAGTGCAGGGGGCCGTGAAGTGGGACCTGTGCCGCGCTTCACACCGCCAGGCTATGCTGCCGGGCAGCGGTGTGGCCTTGGACATTCGGAGAGCAGTGGCAGCCTCGCGGAAGAGAAGGTCCTCCCATCGCGACCCAGGTGACCAGCGAGGCCCCGAGACCCACGTGCTGCAGGCCCGTGTCCGGAACACCTCTCGACCCCAAGGGGAAGCTGGAGAAAGCCAGCCCCGGCCCTGGGAACTTTAACAGACCACCACGCCTCCGTTGCTCACTGTGTGTTCACGGGCCGGCCTGTGTCAGTCCCTGTCTGCTTTTCAAGGTGCAACACGTACCCCAGTGAGCCCGCCCCGGCGGCACCTCGGTATTCCCACGCCGCCCCCAGAGTCCACTGGCTGAGGATCGGGAAGGAGCCCGTTACGTCCCACTCTACAGGGGCGGCTCGCGGGATCAGCCCTTGGGCAGCGTTCAAAGTGGGGTCCCCCCAGGCGCTGCAGATGCAAGACCGGTTTTGTCTTGAGTCCACTTCTTGGGTTCCAGGGGTGTTGCGGGGCGGGGTAGGCGGAGAAAGGTGTTCAAGAGCGAGGCAGGGCGAACATAGAGCCGCAGGTCGCACGCCCTCCCGCCAGCGTAACCTGCGGCGCTGGCCTCCACGGAGAAAGCCGAGCCGCGGCAGCCACCGCAGGCTCGGGCGAGGGCTGCGGCCCCGGTGCCCCCGCGGGTCCCTCCCTCCCTCACCCCCACCTCTGGCCCTCGGGCTGCCGGTGCGTCCCCGCCCCCTCCACCGCCCTGCCGCCCGCCTGCAGGTGAAGCCAGTCCGGCCGCAGAGTAGGTGCGTGGGGATGATCTCACTCGTGCGCTCCGCGCCAGGAGGAGGAGGAGCGGGAGCAAATCCAACTTCCGGGTAGTGAAGCCGCACGCCACCGGCATCTTGCTTTTTCTTCCTCCTCCCCCCGTTGTAGCCCTCGCCTCTCCCTCCTATCCTTTTATTCCCGGCCCCACCTGCCAAAATGAACAGCTCCGACGAGGAGAAGCAGTTGCAGCTCATCACCAACCTAAAGGAGCAAGGTAGGCGGGCACGCAGCCGCCAGGTGCGGGCAGCCGCGGCCCGTGGGCGGGGACGGCCCCTGGGCGCGGGGTTCAGGGCTACTGGAAGCAGGGCTGTAGATGTTGCGACCGCGTGGTCACCCCAGCCGCTCCGTTACCCGTGGAGAAGCATCCTTCGCGCCCCGCGCGCATCCGAGAGCCCAGGGCCGAGGGTGACGTGCGGGTGCCGGGGAGTGTCGGCCCGGCAGTGCGGGAATTGCTACCAGCTGGTGGTTTTAGCGGGCGATCTGGGGTGTTGGGGGAAGGGACGAGGATTCGGCGCAGACTTGGCCCCATGGCACTACCTTCCACGAGGGATTAGCGTGTGGGGCTGGATATCTTGGGAGGGGGTGGTGTGGGCAGCTCAGCTGGCCCTGCTCCCTCGCTTGGCCCCACCCTTGCCCTTGAGCGCTGGGAGGCCTGCAGCGCTCCGCTTCAGCCTTCCCAGCTTTTCATTTTGTCTGGTTTGCGGTAGTTCCTCTTTCTTTACCCAGCTAGGATTTTCAGGCCCCGATGTGCTTTACCACTTCTCATTTTTAGCAATTTTTTGAGTCTGTGAGTCAAAACCCTGCCTTGTGTCAGGCTTCCTGAATTAAGACTTGGCTCTCCTCCACTGGAAAGCCAGGTCATGTAGGTGCATTTCTACAGTGCCTGGCAACGCGAGATCATCCCTTAATAAAGAACTGTTTTAGTCAATCATTTTCATCACTTACCACACTTCTAAACAAAGCCAAATTAATGTGAACCTAACACTTTTTAAATTTAAAATTATTGCCCTGCCTAAACGTAGCCTGAGAATATAGGTCAAGAAAGAGAGGAACCGCACAAATTTAGGAAGTAAAAACATGTAGGAACATGTGCTTTTCTGACTAAATTGCTGACGGGGCCACTATGTAGAAGGGACACATAGGGTCCTGTTTCTGTGGCTCATCCTTGGTGTTTAGCCCCAGCTCTTTCACTTCTCTTTGCTCAATTCACCAACTCTGTGAATTTGGAAGAGTGGGTACCTGTCCCTTCCAGGGTCTTGTGGGTTAAGCCTTGCCTAACTAAAGGTGAAGGCTAAATCAGATGATTTCATGAGGTCCTGTCCAGTACTATGAACTGTTGCTCTTTAATACCACAGGTGTACCATTTGCAAGGGTATGTGGATCCCTCTGAAATGCATAGTCCTGGAAACAAATCTGTTTACTCTTTACTGTGTGTTTGTTTACTGTTTACTGTGTGACCTTGGGAAAATTCTTTAACCTCACTCAAATGGTCGAAACACATTCCTCTGTGGTATCTGGCATCTAGAAAGTGTTAGATAAATGTTAATGGACTTTGCCTTCCCAGTACCCTCAACTCCCTTTGTAAATTAGCCCAAGGTCATAACGTCACAAGCATCAGTGAATCTAGTGGGTGGGCAAAAATGCCTTTATCTGGAATTTCTCAAGTTTTTAGTGAAGGGCTAGATTTTATTAGTATTTGTTTTTAATTTCTAATAATACCCCGCATACCATGAAGTCTTTTTTATTCAAATGTAGTTGACTTATACTACTTTCAGTGTACAGCATAGTGATTATGTATATATATAATCATACATTTTTATGTAATTACAATAAGTCTAGTAACTATGTGTCATTCTACAAAGTTATTACATTATTGACTATATTTCCTGTGCTATACATTACATTTCTGTGACTGACTTATTTTATAATTGGAAGTTTGTACTTCTTGTTACCCCTCACCTTTTTCAGCCCTCTCTAAATACTCTTAATTCATATTCTAGATGTTGGAGATTTCATTATTGGTAATATATGTCAATGGATACCAGATCTTTTGATAGGTGGGCAGTTTTCAAATAATAAGAAGATACAAAATTCCATTTCTTTTCATTCTGTGTATAAGTTCAAGGGTAGATTAACAGTACAGATAATCCACAAGTTGTTTATATTTGATTTTGGAATACATTTTCTATCTCTGTGTTGGGTTTGAGAGCTCGGAAAAAGGGAGGATTCTTAAGTCTCTAGTTCTTTCTTATATTATTATATCAGAAAACAAATCCATGTCATTGGCATTTTTAGAGGATGTATTTTATGGATTATGAACATATCAAATGCAATAGGCCAGTTAGAATTTGAAATTTGTGTTTCTTAAAAGGTATTTTTTTTATGGTATTGAGCGTGGTTACAGAGATGTTGTAATTTCAGTCCACAGTATTTTTATACATTTCAGAACTAGGGCATATGTTAGTCATTGGATCATAGATTGTGGTAACAAATTCAAGAGTATTTAATTGCTGTTTGACCAATGTAACTAATTGGTAAAATGGGGATTTGAGGTGAAAAAATAGCAACTAGGTATTTGGGCCTTTACCAATATTATGATCAATTTTGTAAGATGATGGTGTGTATAATTTATTTTTCAAAATAAAGAATTCTTTTTACTATCTGTTAATGACATTAATAACTCCACTACTTCGTTTATTAATCAGAACTAATATTCACTTAATACTCCATTTCCCTTTTTAATGCTGGGTAAACATGTTCATTTACTCTTTTAACCAATACTTACTAGGTGCCTCCTACCATATCATGTACAAGGCCCAGGTGCTAGGCACTGGGGGTTGAGATGGTGAACCAGCCTTTGCTCTCATCAAGTTTATTTCTGGTACACAGTCAAAATAATCGTATAAATAAATTTGTACAATTGCAAATATTTTTCTAGGATAGATTCTTAGCAGTGGAATTGTTGGGTTAGAGGGCACATACATATAAAGTTGTGCTAGACATTGTAAAAATGCCCCCAAATGGCTGAACCAGCTCACGTCCCCGCAGCAGTACCCATGAAACCACGCACTGGTCAGTGTGGACCAGTAGTGGTCTTTATTAATTTTGACAGCCTGACAAGGCTGGTACCTTTAAAAGTGGTACCTTTAAAAATTCGTATTACCTGGTAATTAGGTTTGAAATCTGTCTACATGCTTATTGACCATTGAGGTTTCATCTTGTTGTTCCTTCCTTAGTTTTAAGTCTGAAATTTGAACCCGTTTTCCAGGAGGGTGCTCAGAAAGAAGGTTCCTGTCTTCTCTGAATGGCAGAGCTGACAGCAGCCTTCTGAACGTGAAGCCTTCAGTGGTGTGGCGAATAGGGTTGCTTTTGACACAAGTTGTGAAATGTAATGACGGAGTCTGTCATAATATGAACAATCTCTAATTTATACTTACCATTCCCTAAGCTCTATGTCTTATAAATCACACCCACTTCTGAATTACTTCAAAACATTGTATGTTCCCTTCTAGTGAATGGTATAATTAGCTATATTATGTCTTTCTAGAAAGTTATATTATGTCCCTTTAAAAAAAATTAGCCAGTGTGTGATTGCTTATGTTCCAGCAGATGTTGAGGTAATGAGGTAATTCTCCTTTTGTCTTTTCGCGGGCTTTATTTTATTGGACTGATTGACATCTCTAATGCGCTGAGAAATGGCAACTTGGGGTACTATTTCCAATGCATATTTCCTAGCTACTAAAGTGGACATTTCCCTTACAAAACATCATACAATTTGCTCCCCCTCCAGAATTCTGTTGGGAAATGATAGACTTAGCTTAGCATTTGTTTAAGGTACATGATTTTCATTGTAATTTATTCGGCCCACGTGCATTGAATATTCATAGCCAGGCACTGTGCTAGGCATCAGAGATATAGAGACGAATAAAACCTTGTCCCTGCTAGTGAGGAGTTCCTACTTTAGAGACGGTGGTAGGCATGTAAATTGCAGGGAGAGTGTTAATTGACCTAGATTGGGCCATGTGTTTAAATCCTTTGGCCAGGGAAGAGCAGGGCACCTTGATTGGCAGCCCCCACAAAGAACAATGGATTGGAGCAATTGTCCAAAAGAGAATGGCGTGCCACTACCAGAAGGGAGAATGCAGGCTGGGTGGACACAAACAGTGGCTGTCCACTTAGCTGGTCAACATAGTCATGTCGTGTCATTTGGAAATTGTTGAGAAAGTTTCGGAGAGAGTGATTGTCACTTAACCATAAGGATGTTCTAACCAAAACAGCAACAAACAACCCAGAAGTTATGCGCTGTTCTTGAGCTAACACTATTTAAAATGGATTTCCTATGGTAAGATAACTGGTTTTAAAGAGAGGTAACCTCCTTTTGCCTTTAATTACTATTATTTTCCTTAAGATCATTGAGATAGTGCTTATGGTTCAGATGGAAATTTAGTCAAGATGCTTCTTAGAGCTGAGTTAATAATTAAAAGAGGTTTCCAGCGTTCCCATGGCTTCTAGGTGAGTACTAGAGCATTATTTTGACAGAAGGGGCTGAAATTGTTGCCCACCACAGTGGCCATGGCAGTCTGGAAAAGCTGAAGCATTGTCAACATAGGATCCGTGTCAAGTCAGTCAGCAGACATGTTCTGTAAATGACTAGGTAAGTATTTTTGGCCTTTTGGCTTGTATGGTTTTTATTGCAAACCAGTGTATTTAATAAAAATGCAATTTCCTCCTAAAGTTGGTTAGCCACTGCTGAAGACACATGAGTTGGGCAGCGTGGCTTCTTAGATCATTCTCTAATGAAAGGAAGAAGATCCCTGAGAGAAATGGCTGATTCAAGCGCTGGGGTGGCTGGGGCAGGAAATATACAAGATGAGCCTGGAGCATCTTGTACCAGCAACTGAGGAAGTGCTCAAAGAAATAAGCCCACAATAATGTGGATATGTCAAAGAGATACAGGAACCAACTGAACTTTCAGTGGCCAGAGATGGAACAATTTGAACAACGATATGTTAGATTATAACCCAAAGTATACAATAGATATTCGTGCATCCATTCTGACAAAAATAAATCATGGAATAAACAGGGAGAAGAGACAAATCTTCTATACAAACAGTTGCAGATAATGTGTAGAGATACTCCTGCTCAGAGTGGTAGAACGGAACTCCTTGTTCCTTCTGTATGGGCTGCACACAGTGACGTCCTTCCAAAGAGGGC